AAATTAGGTGGTGTTCTGTTGTGGTCTGAAGCTTGCCACCAGATGTGTTCTGGGGCCTCTTAGGATGGTCTCTGGTGCAGGTCAGTGTCTGATGCTTCCTGTGACTGTCCTGGGGCTACCTGTTAGGCATTATAAAGCGATCACAGGTAGTAGCTGCCTGTACTGGGCCTGGATGCATATGGGAGGGACCACACTGGGAACCAAGGCTGGCTAACGCCAGTATCAGGCCTGGGGCAGACCAGCGAAAGGTTCAAGGCACCTTGAAACAAGCCTCAGCCTCTCAGCTGCCTATAAGGCTCAGCTGCTGACAGAGCCTTGGGCAGAACATGAGTTGGGTTAGCCCAGTCGCAAGGAGTCATTGGGGTGGAGCTGGTGGAGTTCACCCGACTAATGCAGAATCAAGTTTTGTAACCAAAACGCATGTTCGGCTGCCTGCCATAACAAAAGCCAAACTTGTGAGACAGGTGTTGGTGCAAAAGGAAAGATGTTTATTCAGGTACCGTGACTTGGAAGAACAGTGGACTCCTGTCTCAAAGACCATTCCCCTTCCTGTTCAAGCCTGTGGTTCTTACAGGGATAGGGAGAGGATGGATTTTTTTTCTATTCAGTTATCTTGCTAGCTTTTGGCATGCTCAGGCCCTGTCCATTCATCTTTCTAGCGTTTGTGGCAGGCCCTATCCATTCATCTTTCTAGGTTTTGGTGTGCTCAGTGTAAGAACCTCTCCCTGGACCATCTTGGCCAGTGTGGAAGACTCCCCAGCACTCCCGGACTGTCTATGGTATCAGGATCAGTGGGGAGGGTGGGGGCCACAGGACCTGCTATCAGGAAGCCCTCAGGCCATCTCCTGGAGCTGGATATGGCACTCTGAACATCTGGGGGAGCCCATTGGGGCACCCCTAGATCCTGGTGTGCCTGCATCCTCTGTGCAGACCCTATGCGGCCTGCCCCTCTGAAGTGGCAAGCCTGGCCCATTCTTACCCTGTCACTAGCTGCCTGCTCTCCAATTGACTGTCTAAAGCAGCGGTTCTCAACCTGTGGGTCGCGACCCCTTTGGGAGTCGAATGACCCTTTCACAGGGGTCGCCTAAGACCATCAGAAAACACATATATAATTATATATTGTTTTTTGTGATTAATCACTATGCTTTAATTATGTTCAATTTGTAACAATGAAATTGGGGGTCATCACAACATGAGGAACTGTATTAAAGGGTCGCGGCATTAGGAAGGTTGAGAACCACTGGTCTATAGTAACAATTTGGGTGCATCAGGGAGGCTCAACACAGGAGCAACGGTGGTGTCCCTCCAGCCCCCACCCTGAATCCACACAATTCAGCCTCTCCCTGCTTGTCTCTGGCAACCCCAAGCTTCACAAGAATTTCTGACGAGTTTTCAAGGAAAGACTGCCAAGCAGGCTCAGGCTAATTGCCCCAAAACAGCCTTGGGCTATGGGTGAGTTGGATGGGGCGGGGTCTCAGTGAGTCATCAGGGTAGAGCTAGCAGAGTTCATTAAGCCAATGCTTGTTCAGATTTGCCCAGGGAGGAAGGGCTCAACACAGGAGATATGGCCCCTGTGGGCCATGTGGGAGGAGGGTTCAACACAGGGACAATCACAGAAGTCCCTCCACCCCTTACATGGAAGCCACCCAACTCAGTCTCTCCCTGTATGTCTCTGATGCCCACCAAGCCACTCTCCCTCTGCCAGTGCCCAAGGTGAGTGCCTACAAGTGAAAGTTTGTGTGTTAGCCCCTTAAGAGGACACCTGGGTTTCCAGCAGCCTTTCATCTCACTGGCAAAGATGGAGGAATTCCTGCTGATTTCCACAGATGAGTCCAGATGTGATGTGGTCTCTTCCTCCTGGCTCTGGTGTTTTGGGCTGGGGAGTCCGGCAGGTTGCTGAGCCTCCTTGCTCCTCAGGGGGACCTCTGCAGCTGAGATATATCTCTGGACTCTTAACCACTGCACTTGAGTGTGTGGCCAGCCTGTTTTGTGTCTTTACCCTTCCTACCAGTCTTGACACAGCTTCTTTTTAAAAAAATATATATATTATTGATTTTTTACAGAGAGGAAGGGAGAGGGATAGAGAGTTAAAAACATCGATGAAAGAGAAACATCATGAGAGAGAAACATCGATCAGCTGCCTCCTGCACACACCCTACTGAGGATGTGCCCACAACCAAGGTACATGCCCTTAACTGGAATCAAACCTGGGACCCTTCAATCCGCAGGCCGACGCTCTATCCATTGAGGCAAACCAGTTAGGGCAACACAGCTTCTTCTTTATATCCTCTAGTTGTAGGACTTCTGTTCAGCTAGTCTTAAAATGGTTATCCAAGTTGGTTGTTCTATAATTTGGCTGTAATTTTGGTGTGTTCATGGAAGGAGGTGAATACAGCATTCAACTACTCCACCATCTTGACTGGAACCCCTCCTGAAAGATTTTCTAACATTTTTTGTAATGAAGATCTGCTGGTAATTAATTCTAAGTTTTTGTCTGAAAAAGTCTTTATTTTTCCTTTATTTTTGAAAGATATTTTCACTGAATATGAAATTCTGGGTTGCTTAGTTTTTCTTTCAGTATTTAGAGATATCACTCCATTATTTCTGGAGTGCTAGCATGACAAGAAGTCTACTGTTATTCTCATCGTTATTCTTCTGTGTGTGATGTATTTCCACATTTCCCCTTCCCTTCTGCTACAAAGTTTTCTGTTTGTTTTTTAGCAATTTGGAGATAGCATGTCCAAGCTTTTTGTTTATTTGCTTTTTAAAATTTATATGCTTGGTGTTCTCTGAATGTCTTGGTTGTACTTTAGTGTCATTAATTAATTTTGAAGAATTCTTGGACATTATTCTATTTTTTTTAATTCTATTTTTTCCCTTCTGGGATTCTAATTGCAAATATAAGAGACTATTTGATATTGTCCCACAGTTTTTAGGTATTCTATTCTGTCTTATTCACTCAATGTTTCCTCTTTGTGTTTTAGTTTGAGTGATTTCTGTTGACCTATATTGAAACTCATTGTTTCTTTCCTCAGCTGTGCTGGTTCTAATGATGAGACTGTAGGAGGCATTCTTCATCTCTGCTACATACTTTTCATTTCTAGCATCCCATTTGACTCTTGTTAGTTTACAACACTCTGATGAAAATTTTCATCTGTTCATGTTTCTTGTTCACCTTTTTCACTCAAATCTTTAATATGTTAATCATAGTTATCTTAACTTTTCTGTCTGATAATTCCAATATTTGGGTCACGTCTGAGTCTGGTTCTCTTGATTACTTTCTATTTAAAAAATATATTTTTATTGATTTCAGAGAGGAAGGGAGAAGGAGAAAGAGATAGAAACATCAATGATGAGAGAGAATCTTGATCAGCTGCCCCCTGCATGCCCCCCACTGGGGATTGAGCCCACAACCCAGGCATGTGCCATTAACCAGAATTGAACCTGGGACCCTTCAGTCCACAGGCCGAGGCTCTATCCATTGAACCAAACCAGCGATTACTTTGTTTTTTGATAGTTTGTTGTTTTTTTCTTGCTTCTCTGTGTGTTTCATATTTTTTGGTAGAAAGTTGGACATCTTACTTAAAGCTGTATATATTGATAAATAGTATTTTCCTGGAATTGGGCATACCCTGTTTTTACAGACCTTTAATGTGGGGATTGGGTCAATCTAGTAAGGAATGGCTACCTTCAGTGCATAACAGAGTTCAAAATTTTCTAATGTTACTTTGTGTTCAGGGTAGGATAGGGTGGCCAGAGGGTTTTACTCCATACTTCTGTTGTATCTCAGCTTTAGGCTTGAGTCTGCATATCAGGGAGTTTTCACCTGTTACTCTTGCCCCTGCCGCAGTAGTACGTTGTTGTTATATGATACTTGGTAATCGCTAATACAGTGCCGGGTTGAGGATGGGCTATGGAGGTTGGAGAGCATACTCTTGTGCCAGTTCAGTCTTAGTCTTAGGCAAGTACTGTGCCCCTGAGTCTCAGTGTTGGGGCCTTCTTGATGATCCTGCCCCTCCCTAGTGGTAGAAGCCCTCTAACAATCAAGGCCCAGGATATTTTTTGCTGCTATCTAGGAGAGAAGGATTTTCTTCTCTTTTTATTTCCTCGCAACACTGGGTGCTCTTAGAGTGACAGGGTTTTCTGCCTTGTCTCCAGTGGTTGAGGCTTTTGTTGATAGAGCAAATGGGGAGGAGGATCTGGGTGAGGTTTGAGTATTTCCCATAGTGCTGTCCCTTCCCTCCTCAAGCCTCCAGCTAGAGAGGGAGCCTTTTTCTACTCTTGCACCTCCCCTCAGTCCTTGTGAACCTCTGGTGAGATCTGTGGCCTGCAAGTTGGTAAAAACCCCTCTTGAGTTCGTAGCTCCCAGGGGTTCTGTGTTTTCATGCTAGCCCCAATTAGGCAGTTCATTACATTCTTAATTAATGACTTCTCTTCACCAGCTTGTATGAAGCCTGGCACCTGCCCCAGAAAGCAATGTTTGCATCCTGTCTTTCCTTAGAGGAGCTGTCTTTCCTTATATTTCAGGCCATTTGGCTGCCCTGTGACTTTAGTTCTCTGAGGGTTCTAGAAAGGTTAATATTTTGAAGTTTATTCAGCTTTCATTCGTTTTACAAGCAAGGGCAACACTCTTTCCAGCTTTCTACATCTTTGAGAATGTTTTTTTAAAAAATATATTTTATTGATTTTTTACAGAGAGGAAGGGAGAGAGATAGTTAGAAACATCGATGAGAGAGAAACATCGATCAGCTGCTTCCTGCACATCTCCTACTGGGGATGTGCCTGCAACCCAGGTACATGTCCTTGACCGGAATCAAACCTGGGACCTTTCAGTCCGCAGGCCGATGCTCTATCCACTGAGCCAAACCCGTTTCGGGAGAATGTTTTTATTTACTGACTTTTCAAGGCCCAAGATTTGAGTTTTGCTGCTTCATTTGGGTGCAATTAAATTTTGATTCTCAAATGAACTAGCATTAAAAGCATGGCTAATGTCCTTGCAGAAACTTGGGGACTGTGGCAGCCGTGGAGCCAGTGTAGTGCCACGTGTGGGGATGGTGTCAGAGAGCGTCGCCGCCTGTGCCTGACTTCCTTCCCCTCCAGACCTGGCTGCCCTGGAATGTCCTCGGAGACCTCCCGGTGTTCCCTGGAGGAGTGTGCTGGTAGGTATTCTTCTTCCTTTGGGAGTCTCTCCCAGAGGGATTGTTGAGCCAACGCCTGCCTGAAAATGACCAGTCTGAGTTCAGGAGTGACTCATAAAATTCTGTTATTTCTGTTGACTGTACTAACCCTGTACTCATTAGTGTGTCATTGACTGAGAATAGCTCGTCAGTGAGATGATCAGGGCACTTAACACTGCAGAAGATTGAAATGACAAATTTATCTAAATGAAAGGTTCAGACATATGAAATTATTTTTTAAAATATAAAAATGGGAGAGGTGATCATTTCCCCCCAAGATTTTTTGTTTTTACTTTTGTTTTATTTCTCCCTCCTTTACTTCTCATCACCAAAATTGTGGAGAAACATTAAAATTTTATTCTTCCCATCATCCCAGCGAAGCTGCAAGGGACCGCACAGTCCATTGTTTGTCGGAATAGGGAAGACTTATCCCCTAGATGGCCCTATATTCATACTTACCAGCCCTGCCCAGGAGAAGGTGGGGAGAGTTCTTCTTGCCATCACCAAGAGATTGGCCTTCTCTTCACCCTCTAAGCATCTTGAAGGCTCAATAAGAATTTGATGCAAATTGACTCTAGATGTGATGCTCACATGGCTCAATTAGTTTGCTTTAGTCTATGGAGCGGAATCCCATTCATTTGCCACAGGTTACAGTAATAAAGAGCCCTTGTTCTTTCTATACACCATTCCACCTTCTGATATATAACCAGTTGCCCATTTAGTTGGCCAGCCTTTGCTCTGGTCCTGACTCTTAGATAAAATCCTCCTGTCAAGTCCTGACTTTTCCCACTTTCCAATTCCAGGTGAGAAAACCATTCCTACTTCCTTGTCCCTTCTCATCTTGAGAAGTTAGGTGTTTTTCTGTGCTTGGATCTCAGGGTATCTTTTAGCCAAAACTACAGGCACCTGGCAACACTTTGGTCCGTGCCCAGGTCTGTGACCTTAGAAAATCATTCTTGCTATATTGTTTTTCCAGCCAGTGCTACAGTCCTTCTTCCCTTTATTCCAGTATCCTAAAGATGTTCTCACCTGTGTATTTTTTATATTACAGCTTCAGACCCAGGCTCTTTCCTAGCCCTGAGCTTGCCTCTCTTTTTTCATAAGCCTTGGGCCACACCCTGAGTCTGTCCTTTCTCCAGTTACCTCTCATACTGTTTTCTAAGGCTTTCTTCCCTCTACTCTTTTCTTTATAAGTTTCCTCCACTTTCCACAGTTATTTTCCTTCTGTATAACTTTCTTCAAATACATCTATTCCTTTGAATTCTGAAATGTCATGTTGTGTTAACATATTCCATCTAGAGTTCATAATTCTCAAATGAATTTAAAGTTAATTGCCACTGGCTTTAACTGCACCTTGATATTATTGGAGTGACCATTTACTGACCATCTGCTATGTGCCAGCACTTTAAATACATCATCTCTAGAACAGAATAGATCCAGAGACATAGAAGCATGAAACAGACGGTCTAATCTCAGAGGGAAGTGGGGGAGGGGGAGTGCAAGGGAAGAAGTTAACCAAAGAACTTATATGCATATATGCATAACCCATGGACACAAGAAAATAGTGTGTGTGGTGAAGGCCTGGGGAAGGGGATCGGGTGTGGGCTAGAAGGTGTCAATAGGGGAAAAAAGGGGCATCTGTAATACTTTCAACAACAATAATAACAACAAATACATCATCTCACTTAAAGCTCTCACCTCTACAAGGTAAGGATTATTATATTGGGCTCAGATCTTGAGAGCGTGCTGCCTACCCAGCATTTTCCTAAGTGCCTTGCATACATGAAGTAAGTACATCGTTATCTTCACATACAGACGAGGACTTTGTGGCATAGAGAGGGTGAGTGACCTGCCCAAGACCATACAGCTGATAATCAGGGGACTAGATCTGACTCCATAGTAAGCTACCTATCTTGAATACTTTGCCTTTATATACAGGCCACTGTAGCTTTCTAGAAACATCAACAACCTGAAATTAGCAATCATTTTTTTAAAATATATTTTTATTGATTTTTTTTACAGAGAGGAAGGGAGAGGGATAGTTAGAAACATCGAGGAGAGAGAACCATCGACCAGCTGCCTCCTGTACACGCCCCACTGGGGATGTGCTCGCAACCAAGGTACATGCCCTTGACTGGAATCGAACCTGGGACCCTTCAGTCCGCAGGCCGACGCTCTATCCACTGAGCCAAACCAGTTAGGGCTAGCAATCATTTTTGAGGATATGTGATGTTATTTCATGTTCTGGCATCTTAACTCTTTAATGAGTGGGAATTAGAAATCTGTACATTATAAATTAGCAAAAAGGGTAAGTGCTACAGGCATCCCTACTTCTTCTATAGGGGTCCTCACATAAATGCTTATGTGGATAAATATGATCATTTCTTTCAAGTGTTCTCTGTCTCCTAATCAACCTATCTTCCACTCCTTGGAAATATAGAGATCTGTTTGCGGGCTACTTAGCATCAGGAAATCTACATTTCAGGTGAAAGAGGAAAGACTAGATGAGGCCCAGATGGACGAGGGTGGCAACTTTTGGGCTTTTCACCTGCTGTGGCTCTGAAGGGATCCAGCCATGTCACAGATAACAGCTAAGTGAAGAGCCCTCACTTAGCTGCTATCCCTGAGCTCAGCAGCCACCGCAGATGAAAGAAGTGAAAAGTCAGGAAACAAATCTTTTTTATTCAACTATTTTTGTAACGCCCTGGACGCAAGCCGCTGTCACAAAGAACCAAGAGACGCTTCTCATGCAAAAAGCAAAGGGTTTATTGATGCCAGCATGCTGGGACTCGCAGCCTCACTCTGAGCACAGAGTAGCGGTTGTGAGCCCCGACTAAGAGTTTAAGCATATCTTATATATCTTTCAGTGGGGAGGGGGTTGGAGTAAGGGGAGGAGAAAGGACTGTGCTCTGCCGATTGGCCAGGCGCAAGTCGATGTCTTGTTCCTGGGTGTGGCTAGCAGAGTCTTAGACTTCCGGGAAGACGCACGTGGCCAAGGTAAGATGGAGGACGTAGCCCTTACCCTGGGGCAAGGTGGAGGGCCTAGCCCTCGCCCTTTCATTCCCCCCTTTGTCTTGGAACTTCCGGCTCAATCATGAGACGGACTGAATTTTTATTTCACCGTTGTTAGAGGCTTGTACTGGGTATATAACAACTTTTATTGAAATAGGATTTTTCTTCTTAAAATTCCTCTATGGCTATCAAAAAGCCAAATCAAGATTAATTTATTTACTGTCCTGATGTTTGCATAAACACAACAAGAATGGTAACTGACTACCTTTGCTGGAATCTCATGGTTGAATCTTAACGTGCCCCGTAGGGCCAGGAAGCCACGCCATCCAGCTGCCATCAGGCCCGCCTGCGGTATCTGCTGAGTTAGGTGAATCCCTCACCTGTAGCAATTCCACCTGAGCCCACGCTCCAGGCTTTAAGCCCATCTCGGTAGCCCCCCTACTTGTTGCGGCCCTGAGTGTGTGGGAGTTCCGCAGGAATGTAGAGGCATCCCTACTGCTCTCCTTTTACTCTTACCAGCCGCCAGTGATGGTAGGGCATCGGCCTGACGCTCTAGCGCCAGCTATTTTCAGGGCTTCCAAGCAGGATACTAGGCTTTCTCTGTGGCACTTTTACTGGCTTCAAGTCTTCAGAGCTTAGACAGGGTTCCTTAAAACATGATACTCCAGTCAAAGTTTCTGGTTAATAAAACCACTATTGGAAACCAGTCTTATTGAATTTATGCAAAGAAATGTATTGCCATGTTAGCATTGCCAAATTTCGGAGGAATTACATAAGAAGAAAGACATACTGATCTACTCTAAGATTTTCTGACTTTTCTTGCCAATTCCTTTTAATAAAACAATAATTGTTGGCATTAAAATTTTTTCTATGCATAAACAGGCCTTTTTCTAGCTTTACAAAGGCCTGCAAGACAGTATTACGGGCTGCCAACTGTTAGCTGTCTCTCAACAGAGACCAAAACCTGATGGGCACTGTTCCTTGCCCAGTTGAGCACCTGCCCTCTTGGCAGTTGGCCATTCTTTACTTTTGGGGGTCATCCTACACAGTTCTCTTTCAGGATAACCAATATATATTCAAACCTGCAAAAGAATCAAAGGTCAATATAACATATTAATACAATGAAACATGATATTGGCATCATGGCCGCTTTAGGCCTTCCTATAAATTGTCCTTGTCTCTTTGGAGCCATGTCCATGAAGATGCAGGCATCATCTAAGTCTATTGTGGGGGCTTCTGGCGACAGGAGTGATCGCGAGTCATGTTACCAGCATCAGGCAGGTGGAGCACGCCGTAGCTTGGTTGCGTTGATCTCGATCGACGCTCCATTTGGTGATGAAGTCTTTTTGGACCATGGATGGGTCCGCTGACCGGACGTAGATGTGATGGACCCAGGTCTCGACGTCGTCGTCAGCACCACGGAGTAGGGTGTGGGGACCTTTCCATCGAGGCTCTAGGTGGTGCCTTTTGCCTGGGTGGCGCCAAGGCACAGCCAAATGTCCTCGTGCGCCCTCTGGAGCCCTCTCAAGGAAAGAGACAATTCTTGCAGCAAGAAAGTCAGTACATTTGACCAGATTCATTCCCGCCTATCTTTACAGATTCCAAGGCCCATTGTCTTCCTTAATTAGTACTGGCCTGTATTATCTAATTCAGCACAGGCAGGGGGAAGGGCCCATTAAATCTCTCTGCTCTGAGGAGCTCTGAGCCCCACCTTTGAATGTCCTAATCAGACTAGAAAAGCTACAAATATCTTTTAAATTTATCCCAGAATTCTAAAATTTCAACCCAACATAGAAATATAACAAATCAAAGTCCCTAGTACACAAATATAGACAGAAATTTTTACTAGTTAGGCGGGCAGATTCCACCTCTGACAGAGAGCAAGTGCCCTTGGGAAAAGGTATTTTGCTTTTGGTCAGAGCATTCAACCTGAAATTAAACATTTTTTTCACAGACTTCTACACTTACAT